CAACAATAATGACCCATCATTACATTGAGTCACCTTTAACATAGTATTAAAATATTATTTAAAAGTAGTATACGTAGACGTGTACGATTTATGTAGTTTATCTAGATTTATTTCACCAAACTGTACAGGTCTATTATTTAGATAATTAATAGGCGACATTATGGAATAAGTATTTGTTGGTGTTTTAATATAGGTATTCCATATTCAAAAACAAAAAAAAACGACCCAGACTTTTCAGAATAAAAAAATTCAAGAACTAAGTTTGTTTGTTTGTTTATTTTGTATCAAAAGTTTTTCATTATCATTTTAATATTTTTTCCCAAAAAATCGTCATTACGATCTGGCGAGAAAAGAAATGAGCGCCACAGTTGTCCAAGATTATATAATTGAAGAAAACAAAAAAAGGAAAGTAGGATTAGCTTTTATGTCCTAAGATGTAATCTAAAACAAACCATCAGTTCTATTCTCATCTATACACATTAGCAACTAAAAATATGGATATAATTGTGTGTCGAAGATGTACATTTTGTGTTGCTTCCGGCAACTAACAGTAGGGTTGCCTGCGATTGAGAAATCCTTCGGCGTTTCTACTGGATGGTTAAAGGTGATGACACAACATTTTCCCAGAAGGTCTTGTAGTTTTTCACAACTGTGGCTCTAGAAATAAAGAAAAAGGCGTGACATGCCCCCTTTTTTATTGTACATAAGTAGGAAGGAAAGAAAAAGTAATTTCAAACAAGACAACCCTTGATGATTATTTGTATACAAGTTACTCAGTACACGTTCGTGTCATTTTCATTCGTGTTTCATATTAAGTAGACTATCATATTCTGATTTATTATTGTTTGCTATCTTTTATCTAATAAAAAAAGGTGCGGCTAAAAAAGGATTGAGCGTGCAACTTAAAGTAATAAATCAAAATTGGCGGCTAAACTGTAAGCTACGCTTGTAGCATTGATAATAATTTTACAGCAAATATTCATTCATTAGTTAACCAGGCCGCGTTTTTTGTTCAATTTGGGGCACGTGAATATTTTTAAAATTGGATCCCTTTTTCCTAGTGATTTACATGTAGAAAGACACCTTAACAAATAAAATGAGAAAAGTATTATATTATGCGTCATTTGCGGGTAAATTTTATAAGTTCAAGATAAGTCTTATACTATTAGCATTATTGCTATTAATATAGTGTGTATATCTTCACGAAGCTTGGCAATCTTTCAGTAAACATTATAAGTCTTTCCCAAACAAAAAAAAACAACAACATATTTTTAGTGAAGTATCTTTAATAAACTAAAAAAAAAGATTTGTCCTCTAATATATATCAAATATTTGTTTTGGATAGTATGTGTGCAAAGTGATTTTCATGTTAAGATTAAAAATACTTTTCTTCATCTCAAAAATCCCAAATTTCATTTGTGTAATCTCTAAAACCTTCTAAATACACTTCAAATACAGTATACATATATTTATAATTAAATGTTATTGTTTGAATGCCTCATTGATTGCTCTTTGAACCGTGTCGACCTGCTATTCACGCTATTATAAGTTGTCAATCACCTGGGGAATTACCTTACCCACGAGCTACTCGAAGCTGCTCGCGTGCATGCCTCGTGAAATATTTTTATTATATTATTATTCATTTTACCTAATCTAACCTTAACTAACCTAAAGTGGTTCCTATTTTTACAGTTTAGTTACTTTTATAATAATAAATAAAGAATTAACATGAAAAACAAGACATAAAGTGCTTACCTCAGTATTCTTTTTTCTTTGCTGTAGATTATTGATGACACCTAATTCTACTTTTTTATACTAATAGTAGTACTGCATTAAATGATTTTTATTGAATTAAATAATGCACCAAAGAACATAGAATAACAACATGCAAAAAGCAGACACTTTTCTCTAACAATCACAATTTTTCTGGCTTTAACTATGCGACAAGAGGCGTTACAAATGCATCCAAACTGGTCGTTACCTTTCCCGTATTGATGATTATCTGTTTAGAACATAATGTAATATAATAAGTCGTTTGATAGATGAGAACATTGGCTTTCTATTGGTTATAGGTAATGTATAATTAAAAGTAAGAAAGAACTATTAACAAATCCTGAAAGAGAAGATGTGACAGGAGGGTCTGATTTTCTGTTTCATATACTCGGTAACCAAAGAAAGTTGAATGCTATAAAAATTATAGTTTGGCTGACCAATGACGACTTTATAGTGAGTGATTTACGTTTAATTTCGAAGTTACTGGAGGGGTGGTGGATAAAATAAAGAAGAGAAGATACCTAGAGAAAATGTGTAATGATTTTTTTAAATATTGGCTTATAGAATTAAGAACTTAAAACTTATATACTATTAAAATATGGACTATTAGCTAGGATTTTATGCTATACTAATTGGTATACCTAAAAGTTAGTAGTACCAAATCTATAAAGACTTTAAATGAGTACAAAGGGGTCACATGGTTGGTCAAATTGACCGAACCCGTGTTGTTAATGGGCCACTAATATCTTTTCACAAGCAAAATAGATGTGCAAAGAAATTTTTATTTGATGTATTTCACAAGCAGCTACAATAGAGCTAACTAAGCAAGCCATCCTTAAACTTGAAGTCTCTATTTTTGAAGTGATAGACCAGTGCTGATTTTTCCAAGCCAGTTCCCTTGGCTGTGGTTTCGCTAGATAGTAGATAGGGACTACTCTTGTCACACCGAAGAGTGGGATTTAGCGGTCACTGGAGCGCGATTTTGTTTTGCGGTAACGAAGTCGAAACAAAGGGACCATAAGCTCCACAGTCTGCACGCTAACCATAGGACCACGTTTGGCCACACACTGAAATATATTATGACGACTTGGGCCTTCTAATAAACTTTCTCACCAATTGTGTTCTAAATATTCTATATGATTAACAATATTCATTTAATTCTCATTGTGATAAGAAGTTCTACAACGTCTTCACCGATTTTTTAAAAAACGTTAATAATTTCCGAGTAAGCTGTATCCCGTTGCATCGTATAACTCATTTAAAAATATGTTGTCTCTACATATAACTACTTCAGTCATTCACAATTATTATTTACATACTTAGGACGGTAAAGGCAACTATTGAATTGAAAAAATGCATTTTCTTTCACCCTATTTTACTTAAGAACTTTTAAATATACTCAACACGAAGTTCAGTATTGTAAGTTGAAAATGAAGAAATTACTTAGAAAAATAAATTTCAAATTGGTTATTCACCAGAAGTTTTTCAATCCATTTTCTGGTTACTCTTTAAGATATTTTTTTCATTAGAGTTTTATTTTAGCCTTGATTTTGTTTGAAAATTTATTGTTACGTATCTGCTCATTTGTTAATTTCCGGTATAAATTCTTTCAGAGGAACTCCAGCGATACAAGTCCTTTCTTAATTAAAACTAGTTTATTCTTTTTTGATACAACTTTGTAATATACAGAATTTCCACAGTCACTTTAACTTAACTACTTTTATAAACACACGCTATAATTCACAGCGATTCACTTACTGTACCTACTGCTCGCTTGACTCAATTATCTATCACTATATTTATCTATCTATGCAATTCTATCTTTTTTCGCTGGCTTTATTTGCCGGGCTTATATACTAGAAAAAAGAGGGTGCCTCGAACAAACTACAGTTGCCAGGAAAATTCATGATCCTTCT